AACAATATTATGAAGGTCCAATCCTTTGATTAACAACATAACAATATTATGAAGGTCCAATCCTTTGATTAATGACATAACAATATTATGAAGCTCCAATCCTTTGATTAACAAAATAACAATATTATGAAGGTCCAATCCTTTAATTAAAGATATAAGAATAATATGAAGGTCCAATCATTTGATTAACGACATAACAATATTATGAAGGTCCAATCTTTGATTAACGACATAACAATAATATGAAGGCCCAATCCTTTGATTAACGACATAACAATAATATGAAGATCCAATCCTTTGATTGTTGGGCAGTTTCTCCATGAAAATTATCAAAACAAATGTTTTACAGTTCATTGTGATGTCTGTATACATATCTCTTTAAACTTTTTGTAAAGGTTTTAGTTTCATCAGTTGTGTGTTGTTATTATAAAAAAAATTACACTAAATTATTATCCAAATACCTCTGGATACTCTGTTCTGTACAGGTATGTCAGTACTGTTTTGTAAGGCTAGTAATCTCATTACATAATTTGGGTTTCTAATATATGTAAAGACAACCAATGGCTGTTGAACGTAAGGTCCTTTGTTTACCTCTGGATACTCTATACTGTACAGGTATGTCAGTACTGTTTTGTAAGGCTAGTAATCTCATTATGTAATTTGTGCTTCTAATATATGTAAAGACAACCAATGGCTGTTGAACCGTAAGGTCCTTTGTTTTAAAAATGGTTTTAATTTATACTTTATAAAGTTTTGTTCCTTACAGTGAAAGTTTTTAATTTTGCTTTATAATGTTTATATTCCTTAGTAAAGAACATAATCCATTAATTACTAACGCACTACTACAACCATGAGTATTATTTGTTGTTTCAAGAAACTTTGAATTCAGAAAGTTTTATAATAATTCTGTAAACATAATATTGTTGAAATCCAAACTTGTATCTACATTAATTACCATTGAACATGCTTTACTTAAGTTGTCATTAGCCACCAATTTCCAGAATCACTGTCCAGCTCAAGGAAAAGGCCCCCTCCCCATTGGCTCAGCAGTAAGTCTTAAAGGCATATAATCCTAAAAATTGGGTTTCGATCTAGTGACTGACACAGCATAGAGAGCTCATTTGTACCTTCAGGCTTAATAATAAACAAACAAACTCAATAGAAATTAAGTATTACAATTAGAGAATGCTTGTTGATCAATGAAGAAAGATCTATCTGCTTCGAATAAGTGAGACATCACTATTAAAGTCGTAGGTCTGTGTCTTGAAAAAATAAGGTTGTAGGAAAAATATTCTAAGATTAATCATTCAAGCTGTTCCTTGTAAAATGACAAAGATTGAGAGGACAACCTTCCACTCAACTTTGTCACCTAATGTCAAGTTAACACTTGTTCATGTTTTGTTTTCTAATGTAAGGTTAAACATGTTAATGTTTTTTTTTTAATGTAAAGTTAGAACATGCTTGTATTTTTTCTTTGATAGTTGAATAGGTATGTACATATATTTTTAAATATTTATGTATTTTTTGTGCTATAAGGTACATCTCTCAATGAGTCAGTGGTAAATTTTGAACTTACAGTGCTAAAATCTGGGGCACAATTTCCTGTGGTAGACAGATTGCAGGTAGCCTGTTGTGTAGCTTACGTGCTACATTTGATGGGTCAAGATTTATTTGATGTGTATGTGCAATATTCTTAAAGTCCTTACAGGTTTCAAAATCATCTCAAAAGTTTAGTAGCCTGAATTTTTCTAGAGTTTTTGGATGTTTTTCATCTCATAAAGTTACGAAGATTTGTATAGATCAAATTATGGTTCTTTAAGTAGTGGTGGCACTTATCTCGTATATGAAACTTGTGTTTTTTTTTATGCATGTTGTTACTAGGTATGCGTGATTTATATATATATATATAACTTTAGGTAAGGTTAATGATGATGCAAAACACTGGGTTATGGCCTTGGCTGCTTGCCTTAGGTAAGGTTAATGATGATGCAAAACACTGGGTTATGGCCTTGGCTGCTTGCCATAGGTAAGGTTAATGATGATGCAAAACACTGGGTTATGGCCTTGGCTGCTTGCCTTAGGTAAGGTTAATGATCATGCAAAACACTGGGTTATGGCCTTGGCTGCTTGCCTTAGGTAAGGTTGATATTTGTGTTTCAATCATAAAACTAAATATTCTTTTTGTCATTACTCTTTTTGTCTTGTGTTGTATAGACATTAAAACACTCATTACTCTTTTTGTCTTGTGTATTGTATAGACATCTGCTCCACCATTGTTTCCAAGCCTTAATGGACCATGGAGCTCGAACAGCTTTCCAACTAACTAAGGCTTACTGCCAGCGTTGTTCAGTGATATCCACTTCTTCAGAGGATCGGAGGTTGAGCACTATCAAATTGGGTCTTTCGTTAGGTATGTATTCTTTCTTTCACTTTTGTACACGCTACTCAAAATCGTCAGTTGTTGTCTATTAAGATAACTTTTCTGAAATTTGTGGGTTGATAACGTCCTGAAATTATTAGTTTGTTGGTTACACTTATTTTCTAAAAGTTTGGGAGTTGATAAAAGTCTTTAAATTATTAGCCTATTGGTTACACTTATTTTGCTAAGGTTTTAGAGTTGATAAAGCCTTGAAATGATTATGTTGTTGGTTACGCTTATTTTCCAAAGGTTTGGAGGACACTATTTAAAACAATGTATAGAATTCTTGTTGTTGTTGTTCAGTAATGATACACACTATTATTATTATTATTACTACAGGAGGATTCCTCAGTGATGCAGGCTGGTTTCCTGAAAGTGAAAAAGTGATTGTTTCTTGTCTAAAACTGTGTGAAGAAAAAGATGATGCAAAACACTGGGTTATGGCCTTGGCTGCTTGCCTTGTGTTTTAATGTCTATACAACACAAGACAAAAAGAGTAATGTGTGTTTTAATGTCTACACAACACAAGACCAAAAGTGTAATGTGTTTAATGTCTATACAACACAAGACAAAAAGAGTAATGTGTGTTTTAACTTTTTGTCTTGTGTTGTATAGACAAGTAATGTGTGTTTTAATGTCTATACAACACAAGACC